GGAGGCACCTGGTGCCTGTGGAATGGTATCCTGGTGGAAGGAGAAGAATAAAACATGAGAGAAGAACAGGAATGAAAATTGTCAGAGAGAAAAAAAAGTGAAGGGCTGTTCAACTGTTCAACCAGAGGCCTAACATTTCAACTGGTCTTAGATCTGCAGACCATTTTGTGTTAATGTTTAAGATTGTGCAAAATTGAGGAAAATTCATCAAACTTCCCAAAAGATTCCTTCAAAACATCTACCTCAATGTCTAATATCCCTGCATCATTTTAATTTCCAGGAACGAGTCTAGTTCACCCCTCCAATTGGGTTTCCGTGCTGCCCACAGCACAGAAACTGTTCTGGTCAAGGTCACAAACCACATCCTGACCATGTGTAACCAGGGCAACCTCTGCCTCCTCATCCTCCTCGACCTCTCTGCCGCCTTTGACACTGTGGACCACTCAATCCTCCTCCACCGCCTCTCCTCCCACCTCAACCTTCAAAGTTCTGTCCTTGACTGGTTCAGGTCCTACCTTTCACACCGCCTCCACTTCGTTGCGGCAAACAGCTTCTCCTCCCTTCCCTGCACCGTCTTGTGCGGTGTTCCGCAGGGCTCTGTCCTCGGTCCCCTCCTCTTCACCCTCTACATGCTCCCCCTTGGTGACATCATCCGCAGACATGGGGTAAATTTCCACATGCATGAAGATGACACCGAACTCTACCTCTCTGCCTCCACCCTGAACTCCAGGACTACTGGCGTCCTGACCGACTGCCTGTCCGAATGAGGGTTAACTTTCACCAACTCAACGTCAGCAAGACCGAAGCCCTCCTGATTGGCTCGCGCCAGCGCCTCCACACCTCAGGCGCTGGCAGCATCACCATCCACGGGTGCACACTCAACCTCACTAAGCCAGTCAGGAACCTGGGTATCTTGTTGACCCTGAAATGTCCTTTCTCCCCCACATCCTCGCCATGACCTGCACTGCCTACCACGACCTCCACAACATTGCCAGACTCCGCCACTGCCTCATCCCTCAGGCTGCCGAAACCCTCACCCACGCACTCGTCACATCAAGGCTCGACTACGGGAACGCCCTCCTCATCGGCCTTCCCAACTCTTTCCTTCACAGACTGCAGATCATCCAAAACTCTGCAGCTCATGTACTCTCAGGCACCAGGCTCCTGACCCCATCACTCCCACCCTCACCCGAATCCACTGGCTCCCCATCCCTCAGAGGGTCGAATTCAAGGTCTTCCTCCTCACTTTCAAGGCCATCAACGGCCTTATCCCCTCCTACCTCTCTGACCTGCTGACTCCTTACCAACCTGCCCACTCCCTCCGTTCAGCGGGCTCCGGTCTGCTCCATGTCTCCGCCCAACCCAGCCTACCATCGGTGGCCTGACTTTCAGCCTCTCTGCCCCCACACTCTGGAACTCCATCCCACGGTCCCTTCGCCTTGCTCCTTCCTTGCCTCCTTCAAGGCCGGTATCAAGACCCTTCTCATCGATCGTCGCCCTTGGGTCGCCCTCCCACCTCTCTGCCTTCCCTCACCCCTTCACCATCCTTCCCCCATCCTCGGGCCCGACACCTGACTGTTCAGCACTTTGGGACGTCCTCCCGACGTGAAAGTCAATTTATAAATGTAATTTTGTTGTTGTTGTTGTAGTTCCTGAAATCTTTAGTTACTTGGTCCAACCACTGCATGTTTGTTCCACATGGCCATCCAATTAGTGGTCCATAATGCAATGCAATGCAATGCAAACCTAGAAAGCTATCTATCAAGTCTGGAATATGTGAGTGAGGTTGCAAACCCCAGTCCATACTCTAGGTGGAGGCTTTCAGCAGCCAGACTGCAGTTGATGCCTATTGTTGAAGAAGAGAGGAGGAATGATTTGGCCTATGCTATACCTGTCTTGTTGCCAATAATTGGAAAAGCATTTCATTGTCCAACCCTAATCACCCAAACTAGAATGCGACAGACATATAACATTTTGAAAAATTATTAATTCGAGGCAAATCTTTTAATCCAATTTCTCTGTCAGTTCTCAATATTTCTTCAATAATAATAATCCTTGTATTTGATATTGTGCCTTATCACATCACTGAAACGTCTCAAAGTTTTTCACATGGCTTTTATTGTGAATTGTAGTGGCTGTACATTTGCAGGTGAATGCAACAGCCAACCTGCACACAGCAATGTCCCACAACTAGCCATGGAGTGACTGACCAATTTTATCTGGCGGATTGTTGGTCAGGACACCAGGAGTAACTTCTTTCACTTTTTGAATGGTGCCAGGGGATCTTTAACATCCATCTGAACAGGCAAGATAGGACCTCGGTTCCATGTTTCATCTGAATGATGTCCTGACATGAAGCTTGAACTCATATCTTCTTACTTAGAGGCAGCCTTTACTTCCCAATTGCAGCCCCAAATTGGCCTGGCTAAAATCAGTTAAATTAGCACAGACCACGATTTGAAACTCAAACATTTTTGATCTACCTACCCACTTGAGAAATATGATAAGCCATTGAGTGTGTACTCTGCACTCTGTTTTTGTGTATAACAAAATAATTGTTCCATGCAACGCAGTACTGCTCCAGAGAACTTCAGGCCAAGTTTCCATCTCAGACTGTATACTGTTTAGTCAGACTGGTAATTGGTGAGATTACAATGGGCAATGCTCAAATTCAACCATGACCACATACAAATGTTTTCCCCTTTCTTTCCTGGCTTTACATCTGTAAAGTCTAACAAAATAACAAAAATATTTGTTTTGAGATACATACAGTAGCAAGAAAGTTTGAAAAACAAGCAAAGGGAGATTTGTTGTAATTTTAAGACTGCAATGAATGGTGGTTTTACATCTACCTTCCAAAGCCCTGCAAGTCAAGCCTCTGAATATCTCCTGAATTGAGCTTCAGTCTTACCATATGGACAAGGACCTATACTGCCAGTTAGTAGATTAATAGTTATTGGCCAGACACAAGTGATTGGCAGTATATTAAGTATATCAAAAAGTGAGTTTAGATCAGGCTTCCCTTTGCCCACACTCTCTGAAGCTTTTCTTGCAGAAATTGTGTTTTGTTCACTTTTAGTGTTCAATGAACATAAGAAAAAGAGATAAGCAATCATTTCATGTATAAAAAAAGAGACGCTTGCTGAATTCTTAGACTGAACTTTTAACTTATAAAATTATTGCGAAACTGCAATGATGAAGCTTTCTTACTTCAGTACATTCATCATATATAAGAGGAAGGAAATACCCTGGTCCTCTCTCACGCCAGGCTCCGCGACCCTATCACCCCATCCTCGCCCAACATCCTCGCCTGACTCCCATCACACAGAGGATACAGTTCAAGATCAAAGCCCTCCATGGCCTCACTTCCCCCTACCTCTGCAACCTCCTACCAACCGACCCGCTCCCTCCACTCAGCGGGTTCCGGCCTGCTTCACGTCCCCCGCCACACCCGAACCACCAATGGTGGGCGGGCCTTCTGCCGCTCTGCCCCCACCCTCTGGAACTCCATCCCGCAGTCCCTCCGCCTGCCCCCTGCCCTCCCTACCCCCAGCCCAGGTCCCAAAACACTGATTATCCAGCGCCTTGGGACGTCCTCCCGACGTGAAAGGCGCTATACAAATGTAATTTTGTTTGTTTGTTTGTTTATTCAAAAAGAGAAAGGAGTTGCTCCTGGTGTCCTGACCAACAATCCCACAGATAAAATCGATCCTTCACTTCATGGCTGTGGAATTTTTTTCCTACAAATTGGTGGCCGCATTCATCTGTGAAATACACAGTCACTACACTTGACAGTGGATGCTGTGAATCATTTTGAGACGCCCTCCCGATGTGAAAGGTGCTGTAATAATGCAAGGATTATTTATTAGTTTCATTAGAAGGATTCAGAGGAGGGGAAAGTAACACTTTTTACTACTGTTTTATGAAGAAACCATACCAGTTTTCCCTGAATCCATGTAATTAATAACAACAAAATATTACCCATTACTGGTTTGTGTGAATATTTATTGACCAGTTTCTAGTCTCAATGTATTCAGTTGGAATGTGGCCTCATTGATGTCTAAGTGAGAGGCCTGTATTGATGTGTTTGATTGCACACATCTCATTAGCAAAATAATCCAATTGTTATATCTGAGAAAAAGATCTGCTTTCCTGATATATATTAAAAAAACAAATAAATGGAGGCGTCACCATTCGGATGAGACATTAAACCAAGGTTCTATCTGTCTGCTCGGGTGGATATTAAAGATCCCACGGGAACAATCCAAAAAGAGAAGGGAGTTTTCCCCGAGTCGTGACGAAAAATCCTCTCGATAAATTGGCGATTCGCTTTGTGGCTCGTGGTGGGGGTCTTATTGTGAGGAAATCAACTACTGCACTTGCCTACAAATAATAGTCACTAAGGCTGGACATCTATTTCGTGTGAAGTGCTTTGAGACGTTTCGGTGCTGAATCAAATACAAGGATTATTAACAGGATAGATTTCAGTCAATTATATTTCTAATCTATTGGTTTCTGTGTATGTGTGTGTGTGTGTAGGTGTAGGTGTAGGTGGTAGAAATAAATACTAATATGTATGATCTGTTCACGTTCAAAAAATCTTCCGTGATTAAAACACTCAGCCTAAAACCTATTGTTTTATGGCGCGTGGAATAAATCATTCTCACGTTTTCAATTGGGAAGCATTGATTTTGTTGCCCACAGGGCTTGATGGAGCCTTTTGGTTAAAAGTCCACAGGAGGAGAGCGTCTGCAGTCCAACTGGAAGTACTTGATGCTCTTCCTGGGATCACTCTCCAGCTCTGTCTCTGCACTGTCCCTCTCTTTCTCTCCCCCTCCTCTCTCTCTCTCTCTCTCTGGTTGGATGTACAACCTCTCAGCTATTGCTCGTGTTGGCAAGTGCACCGGAGCTTAGGGTTTCTTTCTTTTTCTGTTTCTCCTTCTGTCTCTCCTCTCCGTTTCAATCTCCACAGATCTCCCTCTCTCTCTCTCTCTGTGTGTGTGTGTGTGTCTCTCTCCCCCTCTCTCCCCCCCTTCTCTGTGTCTCTCCACCTTCCTATTAACCAGTCGAGGGGCGGTCAGTAATGGAGGATTTCTTACCCAACACAGACGAGCCTTTGCTGCTGGTTTGAAAGCTTCTTTCATTGCAAAGGCAAAGGAGAAAGGGGAGAGCGAGAGAAAGAGAATTAAAGAGGAGGAGGAGGGGAGGGGGTAAGAGGGGGAATTATATTTGGCCTAAAGAGCGACTTGGGAAGCCAAAATGTCGACCAGAACGCCATTGCCCACTGTGAACGAGCGCGACACAGAGAATGTAAGTCGGACACTGTTTCATTTTGTTATTGTTGCTGCTTTCTATCCGAGGTGGGATTTGCTGGAGCAGCCCGAGGCTGGGGCGGGATACATGGGTTGTGTGTATTTTCTGCTTCCAAACAGGAAAACCTTTGTGAAGGTGGGTGGAGGTGACAGAGAGAGAGAGAGAGAGGGGTGGGGGTGAGAAAGGGACAGACAGACAGAGGGGGGGGGGGGGGTGAAGGAAACAGATGGGGGGAGAGACACAGAAAGGGGGTGAGAGAGAAACGCAGAGAAGGGATGAGAAACAGAGAGGGGCTAATAGAATAGAGAGACAGAGAGAAGAGGGTGAGGGGATAGAGAGACAGAGAAGGGGGTGAGGGGATAGAGAGACAGAGAAGGGGATGAGAGGATAGACAGACAGACAGACAGACAGACAGAGAGAGGGGGGTGAGAGGATAGACAGACAGACAGAGAGAGGGGGGTGAGAGGATAGACAGACAGACAGAGAGAGGGGGGTGAGAGGATAGACAGACAGACAGAGAGAGGGGGGTGAGAGGATAGACAGACAGACAGACAGACAGAGAGAAGGGGGTGAGAGGATAGACAGACAGACAGACAGACAGAGAGAAGGGGGTGAGAGGATAGACAGACAGACAGACAGAGAGAAGGGGGTGAGAGGACAGACAGACAGACAGACAGACAGACAGACAGAGAGAAGGGGGTGAGAGGATAGACAGACAGACAGAGAGAAGGGGGTGAGAGGATAGACAGACAGACAGACAGAGAGAAGGGGGTGAGAGGATAGACAGACAGACAGGGGTGAGAGGATAGACAGACAGACAGAGAGAAGGGGGTGAGAGGATAGACAGACAGAGAGAAGGGGGTGAGAGGATAGACAGACAGACAGAGAGAAGGGGGTGAGAGGATAGACAGAGAGACAGAGAAGGGGGTGAGAGGGATAGACAGAGAGAAGGGGGTGAGAGGGATAGACAGACAGACAGAGAGAAGGGGGTGAGAGGGATAGACAGACAGACAGAGAGAAGGGGGTGAGAGGGATAGACAGACAGACAGAGAGAAGGGGGTGAGAGGGATAGACAGACAGACAGAGAGAAGGGGGTGAGAGGGATAGACAGACAGACAGAGAGAAGGGGGTGAGAGGGATAGACAGACAGACAGACAGAGAGAAAGAGAGACCGAGAAGGCGGGTTAAGAAAGGGACAGAGAGGGTTGAAAGAAACAGAGAGATGGGGTTGAGAGAGTAGAGAGATAAGTGGTGTGAGAGAGTGGGGGTAGAAAGAGGCAGAGAAGGGGTGTCCAGAGAGTAAATAGACAAATGATGGTGAGAGAGACACAGGAAGAAAGGATGAGATGGTTTTTATTTGGGAGAGCAGAGCGAGCAGAGAGAGAGTGTGTGTATCTCAGTCAGGGCCTTCGCTCAGCAACACTTCCGAGCATTTCCAGGGGAGGACGATCACCTCTTCGGACTGAATTAAAAACACGCCTCTCCTGTTTCCCTCTCTGCCTCCCTCATCCATTAGCTTCGTGCGAATCCCTCACCCCACCCCATTTGAAGCCCTCCCCCCTTTAACTGTGTGCTTTGGTCCTGGGGGGCGACCCACCAGCTTTAATGACAGCCCCCGTTTAGTGTCGCTCAGTGCAGCCCTTCTCGGCTGACGCAGTGTCCGTCCATCACTCAGTCTGATCAGTGATCAGTGATCAGTGCTGGAGAGCGTTTATTTTTCTCACGGGTGTGATTGTATTTTTTTTTGTTGTTGTTTGTTTTGCCACCGTGAAACGAGGTCATAATCTACATTATTGCAAATCATCGTTTCACTCCCTGTATATATTTAAGGGATGGGGTGGAGGGGGGGGAGAGGAGAAACAAGGATTTCTAGATTGAAAAGCCACCAGAAACTGACGACTCACTGTATGGGTTAAGGGTCAAATGCACTCTACTGTGATGTACTTTCAACCCCTTAAATATAATCAGTGCTTTGCAGCTGCTTCTGCCCCAACTAGTATTGGAGTGCACAGGCCTCTTTCATATAATTCCTCACTACATCGCTGAGGGGTTTATTTACAAGCAGCTCAGGTCGTACAAAATGCTGACAATTGCGAGGTGGATCTGCCTTAGAATTTCTAATAACAATCTTTGCGTTTGATGTAGCGCCTTATTGCGTATTTGAGACGTCTCAAAGCATTTCACTGTAAAGTGAATTGACTATATTTTTGTGGGTCAAACGCGGCAGCCAATTGCACATAGCAGTGTCGCACAAACAGCCATGGGTTGAATGACCAATTTATTATTATTTGGGGGGGAGGAGGGTGTCTGTTTTGGTGTGGGGGGGGGGGGTATGTTCCCTTTTCAGAGGGAGGGCAAATTGCATTCATTTTTAGGGGGTTTGTGATTCTCTTTCAGTAATTGAGAATTTGATGCAAGTAGATATTAATGCTGAAGTCAGCAATAAATTGTAGCAACAGCAATAACTGATGTAAAGCATAAGGTGATTCAATATTCATTTTTTTTCTAAAGAAAATCATTATGTCTCATCGAAAAAAAAGATGAAATCCGTAGCTTACCGCACAGACTGTACACTGTGAAGTGGTTTATGTTTTGTGTGCTGTGTGGTTAACATTGCAGCATACGTCTGTGGATGGATATGGTGAGTCACAAAGCCATCCTTCCAAATCAGCGAGCAGACAAAACCTACCCCGCTGCAGGAATTCAGTGGCCTCCACAACTGATGAACAGCCCCATATTGGAAATTACCGGCTGCTAAAGACTATAGGCAAAGGAAACTTTGCAAAAGTAAAATTAGCACGACATGTTCTGACTGGAAGAGAGGTGAGTTTTATTGGTATTGTTGCATTATCACAGAGTGTTAGTGTCAACTGTATAGTTGCCATGGTAGCGCTTTTGGATTGGATTTCTGTTTTTCCACTAGCTTTTCTGCCCTGCCCTTCTTCAATCCCGAGGGTCTGTTCCTTTTTTTTCCTTTGACTGGAGAGTGCTTTCTTGGGCTCCGGGCACCCTTCAGTACCTCGCCTCACTTCACCTCACCTCAAGTAGCCATTATTCACGTGTGCAGCTCAACAGAGAGAATCGCCAGGTTTATCTGACGTTGGGAGAATTACAGCCTAGCTGCTCCCGTACTTACTCAATTTACACATTAATGCCCCCTCTAGGAGGGGTCTCTAGGTAGCGACAGGGGTGGGCAACCCTGGATAATATTTCACTTCGCTAATCCAAGGGCGCCTAGGCTGGTTGTAATTGCTGCTACCCTGGCTGAGAACAGCTCATTTATATTTAGTTCTGTGCTTTGCTGGTCTTGTATGGCCCTCGGGCTGCACCCTTTCCTACAAGGCCATCGGAGAAGCAGAATTGGATTAATTTCCAATGATTAGGTGTTCAAGCTTCTTTGCACTTCAATACTTCTGAAATTTTCTTTTTAATTTTGCCAAAATGTTCACATTAATGTTTCCACTTGTGACCTCATTGCCTACACACAAGATCCCTCAGCCCACCCAACGAGCAGCAGGCAGTGCCATGTGAATGACACCACAATAAATTTCCGGTGCTAGTTGGCTGTCGTTCTAAATTGGCTAACGTGATAGCCAATAGTTAACATGATTGCCGACACGATTGCCAAAATACCAAACCCTGTTTGCTATTGTGTTCAGCTAATGGACACCAGTGACATTAAGACATTGGCTTTAGCACTTCCCTCTGTTCAGCATTTACAAAATGTTGTCATTATGTTGGTGGTAATGGCATCAGGTCCATTTGTTGCATTCAGGTTTGGTATGCGTGAAATTGGTTAATACAGAACACAACAGATCTTAAACCTGATTAACATCATTACCCTTGCCTTGACATCGAACATAGGATATAAAATAGGTACAGATATGACTGGAACTCTGTGATTGATGTCCTGATCCTGCACCCCCCCAACCCTTTTTTTAAAATTTTATAGGAACTGACACAGTACAGATTATTCCTCCTATTTATTCCTCCAAAATTCACATTCTGTCACAATCTGAGCTGAACTGTTTTGATTGCTACCTACGCTTTTTTCACTGATGCTTTTATAATGAAGTTTACTTTCAGTAGGTCTCACTGTGTCTAAGACAACATCTAAATACATTCTAGGGCTGCAACTTAGACAGATCTCACACTCGCACATAGCACTGACCCAGCCATCACAAGATATTGACTTGGAGAAAAATTGAGCTGATTTGAGTATCGGGCAGCCCTTGAACACAAACATGTGGACATCTGGTAGAGGAATAATCACAAATCATATGTACCTCAAATCAGCATTCCATCATAATATGTATATGCAGATTTTTTTCCAGCGTCTTAGGACATCCTCCTGATGTGAAAGGCGCTATACAAATGTAATCTTGTTGTTTTTCAGCAAACATTCAACTGACTATTCTTAACTTATTTGCAGGTTGCTGTTAAAATAATCGACAAGACACAACTCAATCCAACCAGTCTGCAAAAGGTACGTCTTCATCTTCAATATGTACTCTGTTTTGCTGCTCTTCTGATGGAGACAAACTGGGAGATATGAATGGAAATATTTCTCCTTTTTGATTGTGGCAAAGATTTTCGTAACCTGAGCGATGGAAATATTTTTGTGATCTTTGGCAGTTTGATTATTTTGTAGTGTCCTAGTGTCCTCAAACATGTACGTGCTAAAGCCAATGTTTTGATGTCACTGGTGTCCATTAGCAAAAGGAAATGAGGTGGTTCAGTGTGTGTCTCCAGAAATGGACATGTTTTTGCTTGTGGCTGTCAGTGAGGCTCAGACTGCTTGTCTGACCAAACAAAGCGGTCTTGTGCTCGCTGGCTCGCATGGATTTTGCACCAACCATTTGGAGAAGATATGGTGGCCTGAATAACATAGTTGTATAATAATAAATATAATAATAATAATCCTTGCATGTGATATAGCACTTTTCATGTCTTCTCGACGTCTCAAAGCGCTTCACAGAATAGACTGTAAAGTGAATTGACTGTATATTTGTGGGTGAAACATGGCAGCCAATTGCGCACAGCTGTGTCCCACAAACAGTCGTGGATTGAAAATGACCAATTTATTATTGTGTTGTTTTGGAGGGATTATTATTAGGCGTGTGGAGTAAGGAAACAATTGCAAACTACAGATAAAAACACAGCCGAGTCTGTAGAATTGGTTTAATTCTGATTGAGGTGGATTTCAACCTCGCAGTGTATTGAGGTTGATTTGTACTGCGGACGGGTTCTGTGCTTGTAGAACCATTTCCCCGAGCGTTTCTGCAGTGTAAAAGCAGTAGGAGATGATATGTGCATGCCTGAAGCATTCTTGCTGTGCTCACAATAACACACAGTTCGTTGTAAAGCAGAGGTGTATCTGGTATTGTGTGAAAAAGTTCCCAAAGATTTGTATTACTGTTTCTCCATGCAATATTACTACAAAAGAGTGAAACAGCTTTTACCTCTGTGACTGGATCAATGTAATTTGTCAAAGGGAGGAAAATAAACTACTAAGTTACATTGTTTAGGTCATTCTTGAACTATTATGAAAGCTTAAGAAGTAGCATTCGCTCTATTTTAAAATTACCTGCTGCCCCCCCCCCCCCCCCCACAAACTGCAGCTAAAATTAATGGAAGTTTTCAAATTCTTTATTGTAACTAGTTGTTGTTCATTTTATAAACAATCATCAAATATTTACCTATAATTTAATTGTACTTCTTCCACGCAAATCAACAGGTACAGACAGTGTTTCAGAAGTTTGCTACAATTAAGGAGCAAGTTTATTTTTTGTTATTGTTGTATGTTAAACGATGCAGACATTTAGCTTTATCAGACATCTGTTATTTCAGTACAATGTAGCACGCACTGTATGTAAAGATATTCACAATTTGACTTTTTTTTGGAAGAATGATCTGTTTCAAAATTTGTCAGTACCATAATTATAGAAACACTTCATCTCTCGGTTTGAGAACTCGTAATTTTGATTCTTTTTCCACCATGATTATAGGTCTGGTGAACTTTATTGATTTGTGTAGAAGAGTTGTGAAGCCAAATAAAGGTGTTTACTTGTGGAGTGAACAGAATGGCTATTTCTGTAAAAAAAACAAATTAAAAATGTAATTATGTCATTGCATAATATTTCAGAGACGCAAGTCTGAATTGTAGGTTTGGATTAACTATATGCATTGCATACAGGTGCCCTTAATTATTTAAGTAACTGATTCAAGTATTCTGGAATCGCCTGAAACCATTGGGTGTTTATTATATAGTGAAGGGATCTGTAATTCCATGTTTGCAGATTGTTAGCACAACCTGCAAATTTTGCACATGGGTTGTTTACCCATCCCGGAAATTAGACCCCCACTGTCTTCTATCTAAAAATGTTTGGCAAGGATTTCTTCTTTGGTTCAGAGAGAGAGAAGAGCAATGTGTTTTGCCATGACTTCTACATACTATCTATATATTTGACTGTTTTGTTTTGTGTTCATGAGCTAAAAAAAAAGATTTTTTTTTAATGATGACCATGCTCCTTTTAACAAAAAAACCTCACACTTGTTTTTTGTTAGTCTACATTTTTAATTATAGATGCCCTATTTGGGAAAAAATAACTTAATGCCAGGGTTGGGCTGTGGGTGCAATACATTTGAAGAGTTTTTATTTTATGTGCAGTGACTGTAAGTTTTGAATCATTTTTGACATCCTTTGAACTCTACCAAAGTGCTGAAATGTGTAACACATTGTAGAAGTACCATTATTCAGTGCACCTTCCATATTCTGTGCAGTTTTTCGTACTGGTGGATAATTTTGGTGGTGGTTACTACTCCCGACAACTCAAGTTTTTATGTTCCAGACAGTAAGAGAGGGTTGAGCTGGCATAGGACAAAAATACTCAGCTTGGTAATGTCAGAAGGAGTGGCAATGAAACCTGAGTGGTAATAATGTCTAAGCATTAAGATCCACTTGCTGACTTGTAACAAGCAGTAATTGCTTTATGCTTCATACGTATGGCTGGCTAGATATGGTTTGTGTTCCATTTTGATTTACAAGATGCTCTACGATTGCTATAGGGGGCAAGTACCATTTGTTTTGTTTTTAATATCTTTTGTGAGGCTAATCAGTGTAAGAGTGATATTAAACCTCGAGGTGTACAGTGTCTAATGACTGAAACTTCAGGAATAGCAAGTGTGTATGTTTTAGTAAAGGAACATGTTGCGCGTTGCATATAATAATAATAATCCTTGCATTTCATATAGCGCCTTACCACATCTTCGAGACGTCTCAAAGTGCTTCACAGAATATACTGTAAAATGAATTAACTATATATTCTGAGGGTGAAACACGGCAGCCAATTGCACACAGCAGTGTCACACAAACAGTCCTGGATTGGTTGACCAANTTTTTTTTGAAGGAATTATTACCCCCGGAAAAGCGATTCTCCAAACGACTAACAGCCAGGTTCCAACTTACTGCTAGGTAAACAGAGACGTGTGGAGTAAGGAAACTTGCCCAACGTTTCGCCCTTCCGGGAATCAAACCCAGTCTCTCGCTTGCGAAGCAAGTGCTCTAATCACTGAGCTACAGGACTCCACATATATTGAAGAATTGCACATAATTCAGTTGAAATCCCTCCAGAGTCACTTTAGCAGCTAAAGCAATTCCTAAGGAAACGTTTTACACCTCTTGTTGACATCATGTGCTCAGACATGTCTGCTTTATTGCCCACCTCGCGTTGCTATATGTGCACATAGATTGTATGCAACAGCAGTAAGTCAAAGGACTCAAAGTCCCCTCTGCAATTTGTTAATTTCAGTCCAGTGTTTTTATTACAATATTATATTTTCACTTGAACTGTGTATGTTAGCTTGCAATCCATGAGGATGGCGGGAAAACCACTGATTGCTGATGTAAAAGCTGCTGTTTCAGAGCTCCCAGATCCGATGCTTTGTGTGGGGTGCAACATAAATGCAGTTTGTAAAATGTGAAGATTTCAGGTGCTTCTCATCTTTTTCACCTTTCCTCGTCCCTCTGCTGCCCTGATTAGCCTGTGAGAATGGTCAGTCATTTCACAGACTTCTGTAAGGATAATTCTTGTGTATGAGGATCAATAATAAATCGCAAACTCTCACCTAGCAGTTGCCAGCAACATGAAGCATTACAGGATTGTCTGAAGGCATGTGCCCTAGAATAAACTGATGTTTCCTATAGTGAAATGGAGTAAGGAATTTTGTCGCATGTTGTGGATCTGCCTAATACAACTGGACTCTTACAACTCAACTCTGTGTAGGATAATTAGGAAATCCCTTCACTCCTTGGCACCTCCCTACCTTTCCAACCTCCTCACTCCCCAATCCACTACCCGGTGCCGGTCTTCTGCTTGTCCCTCATGCCCTCTGTACTGCCATTGGCGGCCGTGCCTTCAGCCACTATGCCCTGAAGCTATGGAACTCCTTCCCTCAATCCCTTCACCTTGCCCCTATTTGCCCATTTTCAAGTTATGCCCGAAGACCTTCCTCTTCGACTGTGTCCATCGTCACCTTCCCCCTCCCACTGGTTTGGCATCAGGCACCACCGTTGTTAAGTGCTCCAGCAACACATGACATTGCAGTCGTTTTACAAACAAGAGTAGTTGTGATACAGCCACGATGTGCCAAATGACCTCTTTCCATGCTAAGAAGCCTCTATGATTCTATTCTGATTAATGACATCTCAGTTTCTTGCTTCAGCCAGTATGACTCGGCACCTTCAGGAGGAGAGGAGGAGTCTGAGAACTCTGATGTGTTCCCGTTAAAAATGTCCTTTCTCTTCAGTAGTTCTTGCTGATAGTAAATCCTTTGCCCAGTTGCATTTTGTGACTGACTCAATGAATGAATGAATGAATGAACAAAGAGAGTGAGGTCAGGAACCGTTTTTTTAAAAAAACACAAGTGTTGCAACATTGCTGATCCCACTTTGAATCGGCAATGACTGTACAGCATTTCGCTTTTGCCTACAAAATACAGTCGCTATACTTTACAGTAAATCCTGTGAAGCGCTATTGGCCATCCTCCCAACAAATGCAAGGATTATCATAGGATTATTACTTCAGATGAAAGGGAAGTGTAGTGAAGAAACTGGCTTGTTCATAACAACTAGAACATAAAATTTGCTAGGCAAAAGAAGACCAAGGTCTATCTAGTTCACCTTCCACTTTCCTGGCAGTGGGTTGACATGTCGTGTCCCAAACTATATACTGTATTCTGAGATATTATTTTCTAGCAGAAATCTATCTAATTTGTTCCTGAAACAAATGGCACTTTCTGCTTCCATGGTCTCCTTAGGGAGCCTGTTCCATAAGTTTACTATGCGCTCACTGAAGTATTATTTCTGCAGTTTTGTTCAGATTTTACCCCCCTTTCAATCACAGGCCATGTTCTCTGGTTCTACTGTTCAGTACAAAATAAAAACAGCTTATCATAGTCTACATTATCTATTCCCTTCAGAATCTT